CTATTAGCAGCCTTCTGGAAGCATGGACTGGGGGTGTACTGATGGAAGATAAGGGGGCTGTCAGGCAGGCAAGCTCCCCACAGTGCGAGGCCAGAGAAGTACATGTTCACGGTTGCCACAGACACCAAACAAAACTTTAGCCCTTTAACAGGTGCGTGGCCCTCTGCTAAGCAGTCCCAAAAAACCAAACCTGTTGCCATTGTACTGATTCTGACTTATAGCGGCCCTGGCAGCTAGAGAACTGCCCCACGGTGCTGCCAGGGGTGCATCTTCACAGAAGCCGACCGCCATGTCTGTCTCCCTGTGAGCACCTGGTGGGCACCAGCTGCCAACCTTGCAATTAGGTCAGCGGTTCTCAACCCTTTCACAGGTGTCCTCTGTTTCTTCCAGGCGTGTCCGCCTACATGCAGAGACGCTCACATGCGAGTACCCGGCGTGAAGACTGTGACCCACGCTACACCATGCTTCACGACAAAGTTTCATTTGTCATTAGAAATAAATACTTCACAATATAGAATTACATGTTTTTGGAGATTAATCACTGCTTTAATTATGTTCATTTTGCAACAGTGAAAATACATCCTGCATATCAGATATTTACATGACGGTTCGTTACAGTCACAAAATTAGAGTGATGAAGTAGCAACGAAAATAATTTTATGGTTGGGGGTCACCACCACCTGAGGAACTGTGGGAGTGGGATGCAGGCAGCATGAGGCAGGCGGAGCAGCACGGAGTGACGTGCTTAAAAACTGCACCACTGGGCTCCTCGTCAGCGTCAGGGATGTGAACCTGAGTGGCACTCTTTGCCTGCCAGCAAGGGGTTCACAATCTAGTGGTGACACTTACCTCACTGGCTCTGCAGCCAAAGAAAGAGCCCTCTCTGTTAGTCAGCGTTGGAAAAGGAGCAGACGCTGTTTTCAAACACCCTATATTTAACTGACTTTTACAAACGTTCATTCTTCCCTTAAAAGCCACCATGAAAGGGAAACTCTCTTTCCCACCCTGGGTTTGGCAGGGTCTCTTAAAAGGTTACCGCTGCCCCGAAAACTTAGTCATCGTTCCTCTTCCCACTGAGACGCTCCGCAGCCCCAGCTTCTTCTTTGAGACAGTTCTGCACATTGCCCTGGGTGACAGCTCTCCTGACATGCACACAACAGGGAGAATATCGGGGTAAAGAGCAGGGAGAGAGGTAGAAAAGGAGGAGGGGAGGAAACTGCTAGAGTAGGGAAGGTCCTATTAAAAAGCATGTGGCCATTCTATGTCCAGTTAAATCCACTTGGCACAGAGTACAAGGGTCATTTTTTAATGACCACTCAAAGTGCAGGGAGATGGGAAGTCTTTTTTTTCCCCCAGAAAAGGGAGGATGAAATGGAAAACTGGACAAGTTGATCAGGAAAAAAACCAATCAGTTGTGAACTTGAAAGTGCCCATGGAGTCACTGACCTCTAGAGCTGGAAAGGGCTCTGTTGCTGCTATCACGTGCCATTTGTCAGTTCTGACTCAGCCGCCCAATGGACAACAGAAGGCTAACCCTACCCAGTCCGCTGCCATTTTATAACTGTGATGTCTCAGCCCACTGTTGCAGCCCCTGACTGCGTGGGTCCATCTCGTCAGGATCTTGTTCTTTTTCACTGCCCCTCTGCTTTACCAAGCTTGATGTCCTTCTCCAGAGACTGGTCTCTCCTGATAACATGTCCAACGTACAAGAGATGAAGTCTTGCCATCCTCATGTCTAAGGAACAGTTGGATTGTGCTTCTCCCTAGACAGAGTTGTTTGTTCTTTTGTCAGATTTTGTTTGTACTTTCAATATTCTTCGCCAGCGCCATAATT